AGCCTGTGGGAATGGACTGGGATGGGACTGAGCCTGTGGGAATGGACTGGGATGGACTGGGATGGGGCTGACCCTGTGGGAATGGACTGGGATGGGACTGAGCCTGTGGGAATGGACTGGGATGGACTGGGATGGGGCTGAGCCTGTGGGGATGGACTGGGATGGGACTGAGCCTGCAGGAATGGACTGGGATGGGAATGTCCTGGAGAGCAGCTCTGCCTGCACAAATGACACAGGAAGGGGACTGGGAATGGACTGGGAACGGCACTGGGAATGGGATTGGGAATGGCACCAGGATAGCACTGGGAATGGGAGCGGGACCCTGAGATGGGCCTGCCCGCAGGTGTCACACAGGGATAGGGGTGACAGGGGGCTGTGACAGTGACACTGAGGTGACAGTGACTCACCGATGTCCCTGACGGAGTGGCCCCGGGTGTACCTGACCCTGAGATGGGCCTGCACGCAGGTGTCACACAGGGGCTCGGCGCAGTCATCGCAGAACCTCGTGGCCGCCGCGTTGTCCTCGCAGCTGCTGCAGCTCTGAGGACAAGGGACAGGCTGGGCTACCTCCTCCCCGGTAATTAGCGCTAATTAACGCTAACGAGGCTCTACCTGTCGGGGCTCAGGCCCTGCGGTGGCTCCAGCCCCACTGTCCTGCAGGAAGAAGTTGTCCAGGATGTCCCCCAGGGGACACTGGTAGTGGCACACGGGGCACTCGAACACTGCGGGGACAGCGGGGACACGAGGTCAGGGGGGACGGGGGGGGGGCAGAGGGGGTACCAGGGTCACCCCACACCCCCCTCTGTGGCGGCTCGTTAGTGGGGCAGGGTCCCCCATTGCTCCCAGTGTCCCCCAGTGCTCCCAGTGCCTCCCAGCTCCCCCAGTCCCCCCTCACCCGCTCCATCTCCGCCGAGGCAGGTCCCGCACACCGAGTGCAGGCAGGGCAGGAGCCGCGGGTTCCGCTGGGGGCTCAGGCGCTCCCGGCAGCGCCCGCAGTGCTCCAGCAGCTCCAGGTGCCCCAAGGGCTCCACTCGCGGGCCCTTCCCGACCCCTTCCGAGCCCGTCCTGGCCGCCGCCGCCGCCTCAGGGCCCGACATGGTGGCCCGGTCTCCCCTCACGGCTTCCGGTCCCGCCCCCCCGCTTCGGCCAATCACCGCCCGCTGAGCCTGATGGACAGCGCATGGTCCAATGAAAGGGGGGACGAGGGATTGACGGGGTGAGGACCAATAGAAGAGGAGCAGGCGGGAGGAAAAAGGGCGGGAAGGAGAACGCGCAAATCAGCGGTGGAAACGCCACGGGGAGGGCGGGGACTGTAGAGACGTGACGCTTGGCCAATCGGCTTCCGGGCTCGGCGGGGAGGAGGGGCGGAGGCGATGATTGACAGGTCGGGGAACCAATGCGCTGCAGGGCTGACGAAGGACTGGGAATACTGGGAGCACTGGACGGTACTGGGAGCACTGGGATTACTGGGAGCACTGAGCTTTACTGGGACTGCCGGGGGTACTGGGGGCGTTACTGGGAGGGCCCCGCATGACACTGGGACCAGAGGCTGAGGGGCCCTGAGCAGTGGTGGCCCTGGGACAGTGTCCCCTCTTTGTGTCCCAGTGTCCCCCATTATGTCCCCCCACTGGCTCCAGTGTCCCCCCAGTGTCCTTCCAAGTCTCCTCCTGTCCTCCCCCATGTCCCCTCTGGTGTCCCCCAGTGTCCCCCCCATTCTCCCAAGTCCCCTCCCATTTCCCCAGGTCCCCCCACGTGTCCCCAGGGTCCCCCCCCCGTCCCCAGAATCCCCCCTCTCTCCCCAGTGTCCTCCTGTGTTCATTGTCACCCCCAGATGCCACCAAGACCATTTGAGCCACCCCCCACTGGCCACTGTTTGGGGGGACAGGAGCCACCTGGGGGAAGGGGCGGACCCCATGTCCGTCTTGTGTGTCCATCCCTGTGTCCACCTGTGTGTCCATCCGCGTGTCCATCCATGTGTCCATCCCTGTGTCCATCCAAGGCTGGGGTGGGGTCACAGTGACGGAACCAGGGAATGGTTTGGTGGGGGAAAGGACATTCCATAGACACTTCCAGGATGGAGCAGCCACAGCTTTTCTGGGAATTCCATGCCAGCCCCTCCCTGCCCTCACAGGGAGGGATTTCTCCCCAGAATCCCACCCAAGTGTCCCCTTTTCCAGCTGGAAGCCATTCCCTGTGTCCTGGCACTCCACGCCTTGTCCAAAGTCCTTCTCCAGCTCTTGGAGCCTATTCAGGCCCTGGAAGGGGCTTTGAGGTGTCCCCAGATCCTTCCCTTCTCCAAGTGGGACACTTCCTCTCTCTCCAGCCCCTGGAGCATCTCCTCTGGCCTCAGGGCGTGGCCCATCCATCCAATCCCTGTCTCTCCAGCTCAGTTCCAGGACTTCCTTGGGATCCACCTCAGGTGCTTTGGACAAGTCCAGGTTGATGATGTCATCACCACCCGAAGAGCCCCTGAGCTCCACCGAGGCCATCACCAACCACCTCCTGGTGTCCCACCTGCCCAGCTTCCAGGAGGATTTGCTCCGTGCTCCTGCCGGGTGTTCCCGATTCCCCTGTTCTGTTCCCCTTCTCCTGTCCCCGGGAACGTCCCCGTGGCTCAGCTTCCTCCAGGTTTCACCTCAAAAAGGCCTGGAGCCCCAAAATCCACCTTTGAGGAATTTGGGGGGCAGAGACCCCCCCCCTGGTGCCCCCTCACGCCGTGTGAGCGGGGCCGGCGCCCGCGGCGTCAGTCCCCGGCCACGCGGCCATTCCGGCCTCCGGCGGCAGCGGTGGCGGCCCCGGCGGGGGCCCCGGGGGGGGCCCGGGGTGAGAGGCGGCGGCGTGGCGCTCCAGGAGGGTGCGGTGGGAGAAGCCCTTGGTGCAGAGGCGGCACTGGAAGCGCTCGGGGCGGTGGGTTCGCATGTGGACGTTGAGGGAGCTCTTCTGGGTGAAGCGTTTGCAGCAGACGCCGCACTGGAAGGCGCGGACGCCCGTGTGGGTCACCATGTGCTTCAGCAGGTAGTCCCGGAGGGAGAAGGAGCGCCAGCAGATGGAGCACTGGTGGGGCTTCTCACCTGCGGAGAGACAAACGTGGGGCAACACGGGTCAGTATGGGGCAGGTCTGCATGAGTGAACATGGGTCAACGAACCGACATGGGTCAGCATGGCTTAGCACGGGTCAGCATGGCTTAGCATGGGTCAGCGTGAGTCAACAGGGGTCAGCACAGGCCAACATGGGTCAAGAGCAATGCACATCCACAAGTCAACCACAGATCGCCGTGAGTCAATGCGGATCCTCCCAGGGCACAACCCTGCCCACCCTGCCCTCCCTGCCCCCGTTGTGTCCCCCCCACATCCCCGTGTTCCCCCCGTGCTCACCCGAGTGGATGAACATGTGCTTGGTGTAGTTCTTGCGGGAGCTGAAGCTCTTCTGGCAGTGCCCGCACTGGTAGGGGGGCTGGGGGCCGCGCAGGGGCCCCACTGGGGGCACCGTGGGCACTGGGGGGGCTCCCCCCGCCTCTGTCCCACCCTCGTAGGGTGGCGGCAATGCCGGGGGTGCCCCAAACCCAAACCCGTCCCCGCACAGTGCCTCCCGTCCACGCTCTGCCCCGAATGCGGTGCCGCCGTCGTCGCCGGCCCAGGGTGCCAGGAACGTGTCTGGGAATGCCTCGGGGGCACCGAAAAATGGTGGGTCTGGTGCCGGGAAAGCCGGGAGGGCCGCACCGGGCGGGACAACGCCCTCCTGGGCACCGCCGTCCTCATCTTCCTCTTCCTCCTTCGCCTCCTCCTCCTCCTTGAGCGTCGGCGCGAGGCGCAGCGGCTGCCGCTGCTTCCGGCTGTGGCCGCTCGGCAACGGCTCCGAGAAGTTCTCCAGCTCCGCCGGCGGCCCCGGCGGCAGTTTCTGGGCCGGGGGCATCACGGCGGGGCCGCGGCTCTGCGAGATGATCTGGGTGCACTCGTCGATGACCGTCTTGATCTGCAGCACCGAGGCCGCGGTGAGGATGTGCAGCGCCTCCGACTGTGCCACCACGAGGCTGCCGCTGTACAGGAACTCCACCAGCTGCCGCACGGCCGCCGAGGGCACCACGGGCGGCACCTCGATGGCCGAGTGGCCCAGCAGCAGCTTGTCATGGAAGAAGGGGCTGCCCGCGGCCAGCACGCAGCGGTGGGCGCGCAGCGAGGCCTCGCGGATGCGCACGGTGACGTCGCAGAACTGCCCCGCCACCCGCTGCCCGTTGAGCGTCTCCAGCAGCGAGCGGCTGAAGTTCTGCAGGTGGATGTAGTGAACGGCCTCCGGCATCGCCGCGGGCACGCCGGGGGACACTGGGGGCACAGGGGAACGGGGGGGACACGGGGACACTTGGGGGCAAAGGGGGACACCGGGGTGGAGGGATGGAGGGGACAC